TGATTGTTGAGGAACAGTGTTTTTTTGTTTGTTTGTTTTTGTCTTCATATTATACTATTTGTTGAACTCTTTACTTAGTGTAGGGTTAACCTTATGAGTATAAAGTTAACTGAGGGCTAGTGCTATGGTGCAGTGGACTAAGCCTCCACCTGTGGTGCCAACATCCCATATGGGTGCCAGTTCATGTCCAAGCTGCTCCTCTTCCAATACAGCTCTCTGCTACAGCCTGGGAAAGCAGTATATGATGGCCCAAGGACTTGGGCCCCTGCACCCCTGTGGTAGAACCAGAAGCTCATGGTTCCTAGCTTCATATAGGCTAAGATCAGGCCATTGCAGGCATTTGGGGAGTGAGCCAGAGGATGGAAGGTCTTTCTCTGTCTATTCTTTATGTCTGTAACTCTAGGTCTCAAATAAATAGTATCATTTTTAAAAAGATGTATTTCTTTGGAAGAGAGTGACAGAGAGTAAGTGTGATGGAGAAACAGAGAAACATCTTTATCTACTGCTTCACTCCCCAAATGTGTGCAATGACCAGGGCTGTAGCATGTGGAAATTAGGAGCCAGGCCATTGCACCTGGGTCTCCCATATGGGTGACAGGGGCCCAAGTACTTGGGTCATCATCTCTTGCCTTCCCAGGCACATTAGCTGGCAGGTGAATCAGAAGCAGAGTAACCGGGACTTAACCCAGTGCTGCATTATGGGATTCTGGTTTTGCAAGCAGCAGCTTAGCCTGCAACACAACAAAACTAGTTTCCCTCACTTTAATTTTAAAAGATAAACTTCCCATATAACTTCTACACAAATCTAATACTCACATGGAAATTACTGCTTTCCTAATGGAGTTTTTAGAGTAAAAAACAAACAAACAAAAAAAACTTCTTCTAGAACTATACTATAATGTGGTACATATTTGCATAATATCCTATTATCCAAAGATTCCACTTCTAAATGTTGTTCATTCCTAAGGACACTGCATTATTCAGTTTTTCCTTATTCTACAATACCTGACAAGAACGTCTTGGGAAGAACAAAGGTTTATTTGAGTTTACACTGTCCAAATATCAAGTGATCCCTTGGTTCAAACATCTAGGGACAACCAAGGATGGTGGAGGGATAATCACATTGTGAGCAGCATGAAGGTACATGGAGGTACAGGGAATACACTTTTCATCCACCTCTATGTGGTCTATTTAAAGCTTCATGACTTGAATATGAGGCCCCACCCTTTTAACATAATCCAATCCAATCACTTTCCAAAGGCCAAAACCATCAGACCCCAGCACTGGATCAAGCCTCCACCCTAAACCACCAATCATTAGCATTAATCTATTATCTTTAACAAAAGATTTTTGAGCTCAAATGTTTGCATGAGTTTGGGGACCCAAATCCTGGTCAATTCATAGAAAGGATTTATGGAAGGGCAGTCATCAAAAAATTCTTTTTCTATTACCTTATGGAATTAAATAAATTCATTTTATAAATACAGACCATGTGCTATCACCCAAATTTTAAAAAGAATGGTGTAAAGTGCAAACTTACATGGAAGAAAGCAGGAAAAATACTGTTAAGTGAAAAATCTGTCTCAAAACAGTATGAACAGGCAGATACAAATATTTATATGTGCAAAGTAATAGACTAAAAGAATGTGCAACATATCACATACAGTGAATACTCACACCAGAAGTTAAGCATGTACTGTTTGAAATTATTTTCCTCCAAACTGCAATTTAAAAAGAGCTCTGAGTTTCCTGGGTAGCCTCACTCATCTCCAAATTGTATTCTGTTTAGTTAAAATTTTAAATTTATGATTTAAAAAACAGTTTTAAGTACATTCTTGTGCTGAATGTATTTTGGTCAACATTGGAGGGCATATCTGGTCAACAATGGAGGGCATATACACGAGATTATCATGGAGTTGAAAAATTCCTACCACTTAGTGATCTTATAGCATGATGACTTCATGGCATAGCACATTACTTACCTGTTTGTGCTGCTGCTGGTGTAAACAAACCTATTATACTGGCCAGTGATGTAAACTTACAGCCCATACAGGGCAGGCATTTGCTCCAGAGGTTGAGGAGGCTGAGATGCTCACACTCCACAGTGAAGGGTCTAGGTTTGATACCAGGCTCCAGCTCCTGACTCTGTCATCCTGTCACACAGTCCTTGGGAGGTAGCATTGAAGGCTCAAGTATTTGGGCTCCTGCTATCAATATGGGAGACCTGCATTGAATTCTTAGCTCCCAGCCTCTGCTTTAGCCCCAGAAATCAAGGGCATCTGGAGGGTAAAACTGATGGCAGCTTACTCATTCTCTCTGCCTCTCAAATTAAAAAAAAAATTATAGAACATGTATCTACTATACAATAGCTTATAATAATAACCAATAATTAATATTAGTTCTTATTCATGGGGTATATATATTCTTTCTACTTACCAAAAAAAATTTACTGTAAGACTGTATGGCATCTTAGGCCAATAGCAGCCTCACACATCTCATGTTTATCATATTTCTTAACTGCATTAAGAAACCTTGTGTAGTGATTGACTTACACTATCTAGCCTTGTATAAATACATGCCATGATTCTCAGCAATGAACCTCCAGAGTGTATCTCGATTACAACCACATTTCATATATTATTTCTTAAACTTATTTAGTTGCTTCTTGGTATAGCATTTCAAAAATTTATATTCATATAGACCACTAGATGTATTCCTTCATTTTATTTTACTTCCATTTTGTTTGAAACACAGACAGAGACAGACAGGTGGAGAGAGAAAAAGATCTTCATCCACTGGCTCACTCTCCAAATGCCTGCAACAATGGGTCTAGGCCAGGATGAAGCCAGGAGTATGGAATTCAATCCAAGTCCCCATGTGAGTGGCAGAGATCCAAGTAGTTGAGTCTTCATCTGAAGTGAGTTAGCAAAAAGTTGGATATGAAGTAGGACTCAAGCTAGGAACTCTGATATGGATGTGGGTGTCCGAAGCAGTATCTTAAGAACTGTGCGAAACACCCACCTCAAGACCACTGCATGTTTGGAGCAATTCTAGAGATTGAAGGTCTTCCTGTATTAGTTGGGTACAGCTATTTTAGCTAGAGTTGTTTGTTGTACCAAAGTAAAATCAACAATTATTAGCAAATAATAATGTGGAAAAAAAGCTAATATTTTCAGGGATTACTATAATTTAGAAATAGTCTAACCTATTATTTACTGGTCTTCAGAGACTCAAGAAGAAATAAAATAGTTATTCTGAAGAACATAATAAGACTATAAGTATGATTCAAACTTTTAAGATATTACATCCAATCATTGACAGTCTCTTAAACCACATTCCCTCACTGAAACTTCTATATCCAGCAAAACTGTAAAACTTGTAGTAAGAATCACAGGTGACCAAATATATCATCACTGCGATTGGTTAGAAACTACTAATTCATAAAAGATTACAGACCATTTTATTCCTTAGAATAAATGGGAAAACTCAGGCAGAAAATATATACTGTACCACAGATCACTTAGTGTGTGAAGCCAGCAAAAAAGGGAGAAAATAACATTCTAAATAAATAAATAAATTCAGGTTCTATACAGGATAACTAATTTTTAAAGCTAAGAATATTTTTAGAAAGATTATTTATCAATAGACCATATTGTATTTCACTTAAAAGCTGCTCTTCCAAAATAAGGAAAATGTTATTTCCTGGCTTCCTGGCCAATCCACTATCCTTTTATTTGACAGCAAGCATATCAGACAGACTTCAGGGAGTTTGTCTTCTTGCTTCCTAGGGAAATCTCAAAAACCCCAATGTTTAGAGATCCTTTTCTGTATCAATGAATCAGTTGATTTTAAATATTCTTAATTAAAGAATTGTATCAAATCATTCATGACGCTAGTGTCCAGGTTCCTATATCTCTACCCTAGATTCTGATTTGATAGCTTTGGAATGGGATATCAGCATCTACTGTGCATCACTAATTAGATCATCTATGATAGAGAAAAACTATTTCCAACAGATCCCCCTCTTCCTCTTACATAAAACACCCCTAAAAACCCAGCACATATTAATTTTTGGTACATTTGTTTGGTGATGGGGAAAGACAAAGAAGTGAGTATGCAACTGACAAGAAAGGGCTAATATATCTTTTTAAAAAAAATCTAGATGAACACAGTTTACTATCAAACAAGAACCTAGTCCCATTTTAGATGAACACAAAAGTATTATCACTTAATATTTATTAAACACCTGTTCAGTATAAAGACATTAGAAGTTTCTCTGATGAGCACTGAGATGTTTTATTCACTTATTTAATAAATATTTGTTATGTAATTCTACTTATAGTCATCACAGTATCGACTAGGGATATAGTGGTTAATGACACAGATGAGAACGCTTATCCTCAGGTACAGAGCTTACACCTAGGCAACTGTCAGCAACTGCTTAACAAGCTGCTTCCTCTTGTACTGTCAACACTCCTAGACAGGCAAATACATGAAAAAAATGTATATACATATGGAGCTAGGCAGACAGATGAAGAGACAGGGATGGGTAGATGGAAAGAGGCCAGCAGAAACAGATAAACAGGTTTACAAAATATGAGGTTTTTAAATTATTTTTTGGGAAAGCAATCCTTCCATTTGACCCTATGGAATCACACAGTAATTATACCCCCACCCCCCACTCACCCTGCCAAAAAACAAAGGAGTCAGGAGTTACCAATATAGGCCTAGACAAATTCTAACAGTATTTGGTATAAGTAGCATATACCTATGTAAAAAATCCACCCCAAATCAGTGTTTTTCTTTTCAGCTTCAAGGACTGCAATGCTGCTTATTCATGACTGCTCCTTGATTGAGAAGTCCAAAAATCTTTCCAAATGTATTTTTCTAAGTATCTTCTCAATCACTAGGTAACTACATAGTAAGGGCCTTATACTGTGCTTTATAGCACTGTAAGAGAGACCTGGGAAAAGAAGGAGATATGAAAACACTAAACTCACCTCTTGGCCTGATTTTCCTGAGTTCTCTGAGTGTAAAGACTCAATTTCTCCTTCAATCATTGCAGCTTCTAGGCACTCATGCAGATCTTTGAACCCATTGACCTGAAGTGGATACTGACCAAACATTTCAGTGTTTTCAAATTTTTTACCTATAGGAAGGGGTAAATTTAATTAAATTAATGTTCCTCAATATGGCTTTTTAGCACTGGAAAATAGGTGTATATACAGATTCTCTTCTGAACCTGAAACCCTGCTGATTATGTTCCAGAGAATATTGGATGCTTATGATCCAGAGAAGAGTGAAATGGTAGAATGTTCCTGCTTGTTCACACATGTAAATTTACAATCAGTCACAGATATTAATTACACACCATTATGGACATATGTAATTACACACTTATATATGTCTTTGTAGCTATTTTTACAAGAAGCACTTTCCAAGGACAAGATAAGGTGGTCAACATTGAGAAGTGAACAAGAAGGCATTATCCCTGAGCTGAGGAAACTCAGCTTCATTTGTAAGAAAAACATTACATATACACATTAACAGCAAGTATAGATAGGAGCAAATGTTTATTACTAGAAGTGCTGTGAAGGGTAGGGGGAGACAGAGTGCTGTGAGAGGTTATGAAAAGGAGAGCTTTCTTAGTCTTCAGGGGGAGGGTACAGCAGGGACAGACTTCCATGGCAAAGTGACATATAAGCTGAAACTTGAATGGTGAGCAGAAGTTGAAAAGAGCTTTAAAACTACAGAGAATTTGGCATGACTGAGGAACTAAAGTAGGTTAATTGTGCCTTGGAAGAGCACGAAGAAGTGACAATGAAAAATTAGGTAGGAGGTCGAGATCTACAAGGTTGTATAATGTTGTTAAGACTTCTTTTTTTTCAATATTATGAGTATAATGAAAAGTGAATGGACAATTAAATCTAAGAATAGGATCCTATTTGTGCTTCTGAAATAGCTTCATGGTCCCTGTAGGAAGCAAATGATAGACTGTTAAGAGACTACCGCAGGATCTATCCAGAAATAAAGGTAGTGTGAATAACAGTGTTAATAGTAAGAATATACAAAAACAAACACACATACTCATATACACCAGACTGCACACCAATAGGGCTTGACTGACTTGTAAACATTATTGGAGATAGAATAAGGAAGCTATCAAGAATGACACAAATTTTCTAGCAATATTGGATTGATTTTTAAAAAAAAAACTTTTGTTAAATTTATTTTCATCTACTTAAAAGGCAGAGTCACAGACAGAGACAGGGAGACTGATTTTCTTCTACTGTTCACTTCCCAATTGCCCACAATATCCAAGACTGGGTTCAAGCTGAAGCCTGAAGCACAGTACTCAATCTGGGTCTCCCACATGGAGAGCAATGTCTCTAGCACTTCTGCCATCATTTGATGCCTTCCAGAATATATCAGCAGGAAGCTGTGTGGGAAGTGGAGTAGCCAGGACTCCAACTGGTTCTCCATATGGGATGGGGATGTCCTAAGTGGCAGCTTAACCTACTATGCCACAACACCTGTCCCTGAATTGATTTTTACATACTGAAAGCAGTACTACTGAATGAAGAACAGATAATTTTTTTCCTTTAGTTTTGAGGTAGCAGTGTTGAAACTATTGGCTTGGAATGGTCCATGACATCTCAATTTGAGAAAAGAACTGGATATATGAGTCTATAGCTAAGATTAATATTTTGGCCTTAAGATATAAACGGCTGGAGAATTGCTGGCTTGTTGACAGCAGAAATTCAAGGCAAGGATGGGACTGCCAAGGGAGTGAAACAGGAAAACAAACAGAGTTGTCTCAAGGACCTCCTACTTTTAGATGCAAGAAGAGACTATAAATTTAACTTCCTCAGAGGAAGGGAAAAAGCCAAAAGAATGTTATCGCAGAACCACGTAAGTGTGCCTTTAAGAAAAGATAAAGGAAAGAAGGAGGAGGAGTGAAAAGATTAATAGCATTAATATTTGATAAAAGTTCAATATGAAAATTGAATGAGATCCAATGAATCTGATCACATGTAGAAAATCAATGACCTTGGAGACAATCCCTTTTAGTCAAGTTGTTGGCAGAAGCTAGAGTGGGGGCAGGTTAAATAAACTAGAAGTAAAAGGTTTCACCTTTTCACAAACTCCTCCCTTCAAAGGGGTTTGACTCTGTTACAGGAATGAACAGATAGCTCATTCATGGGAAAAATAAGAGTATGGGAAGGGATAGTGTTTTTTTGTCAACTTTAAGAGGTGAGACAACCTACCTGACTAAATACTGAGAATAAACAATGGCAAGGAAAGAGCTGCTGACACAGGGAGAGGGGGACAATGGAGTAAGATCTGCATGAGTGCAGGAGGAGATGGAAGGAATTCTGTGCACACACAAAAAGAACAGTCTGATATAAAACTATGTCATTCCTTTATTGTCTGCAGGGGCAAGTCAGAAGAATATCACACAGGTAGGAATAGATCTAGGCAATTGAACAAGAGATTCATATATTTGGGGAAGTCATTTTTAGGAAATATGATAAAAAATTACCACCATAAAATTAGATTCAAGGTCTTAGACAGGACTCATGGTTAAGTTTCATTAGTTTCACAGTAAATCCATGAAATATGAGGTGAGATCTTTCTCAGAATGATGAAGACACAGGGGCTGGCATTGTGGTGCAGTGGGCTAAACTACAGCTTGCCATGGTAGCATCCCATAGTGGAGGGCAGGGTGAAGTCTTGGCCTAGCCATGGCCATTATAGCTATTGAGCAGTGAACAAACAGATGGAGGATCTCTCTCTCTCTCATTCTGTGTGCGTGTGTGTGTGTGTGTGTGTCTGTCTGTCTGTCTCTCACTCTGTCATTCTGCCATTCAAATAAATATTAAAAAAAAGTATGGTGAAAATGAAGAAACAAAGAAGTTAGTGGAAACAATGAAAGAGTTGTTGCAGAAAAATGCAAGAAAGGCCAGTGATTTACACAAAACAAGTGGGGTTGCAACGTAGGGTGATAGGAGTGGGGGCTGTGGAGCTCAGCACAGTTGCCTCCCCACCCCCAATCTGAGGATCTGTGACTTGCCTTTCCATGCTGTCACCACTAATTTACGATCTGTTGCAGTTAGCCCATTTGTGTCACTTTTTCACAACAACAAGCAGGCACTCAGAACATGCAGAAAAATGCCAGTAGCTAATGAGAGTCAGAGTCTCATCAGGGAGATGCTGCCACAGGGAGTGAGGACAAGACATTTAGGTATTTACACAGTGATCTTAAGGATGAGCAAGGGAAGAAATACAGCAGAGCAAAGGCCTAAGAGAAACAAACTTGTAGAAGCCTCAACAGACCAGAAATTCTCAAGAGTTCAAGTGATTTTACAGTGCAGGTGCTTTAGCAACTGATAATCACCTGGATAGAGAACCACTGGTCTTAAAGACAGCATTAGGAAGATATATGAAAAAAAATGGCAAGAGCGAGCTATAAAATAAGTATTTTTATAAAACATAGTTTGAGTGGAAATCTATTGAAACCACTTTACACAGCACAACAGCTTTGAAGCAATTTACCAATACCAAGGACAAAGACTTCACGTCTGACAAATTATGTTCATTAGCAACCATTTCTAGGAATGCAATATAAGTAGATATGCTCAAGCAGGGACAACCTCACCAGAGCTACTCACAGCTTCAGAGAGTATTCTACCTCAAGTAAAATCAGAATGATAGTGTGGATGACCTGACATAACATACCATGTAAATATTCCACTTAGACAATGAATATTTAGCATTTGAACCAAACGAAAATGTACTGCATCTCAATATAAACTTTTAAATGTTTGACTACTTTTTTCTGAATCATTAACTATCAAATTGCATTTAAAAAAAACTTCATGGGGATCCATTTCTCATACAGGGAAAACAGTTTCCCAAATTTTTAAACTTTATATAATCTGGAAAAAATAATTTTTAAAAGTTGAAACATTTAGACAACTAGAGAAATATATGTTTTCAAAAGTTTATGCTTTGAGACTTACTATTACTACCATATCAAGTTTTGTCTAATGAGTCCATTTCCCTTCTCTTGTTAAGCAAAACCAAAGAAAAACCAGGTAGGCCCACATTTTAATTCTAGGTATTAGCATAGATGAAACTACCACTCTCAGTTGATTTTTCAAAAGACAGAATCTAAAACTTTCTTGAAAACTACTATCTAAAAAAGAGAACACTGGGGCTGGCATTGTAGTGCAGCAGATTTAAGCCATCCTCTAAAATGCTAGCATCCCCTGGGTGCCAGTTCAAATCCTGGCTGCTGTACTTCTGATCCAGAAACCTGCTAATGTGTCCAGGAAAGCAGCAGAAGACTGCCCAAGTGCTTGGGCCCCTGCCACCCATGTGGGAGATATAGATGGAGTTCCAAGTTCCTGGTTTCAGTCTGGCCCAGCCCCATCATCGTGGCCATTTTGGGAGTGTACCAGCAAAGGGAAGATAGATCAATCAAGCACTCTCTCTCCACCTCACTCTCTATAACTCTGCCTTTCAAATAAACAAACAAATCTTAAAAAAAGAGAGAGAATTCTGTGACACCTTGATTATGCTAATTTCAATATGAAAAAAAAAATAAAACTAAGCATCATCTCCAGCCCAGTATTCCACTGTAATACAGACTGTGTATCACTCATCTGAAAGGCCTGAGGCCAGACCTGTTTCAGATCTCAGGTTGTCCAAAATTATCATTATTTTGGAATGTGTACTAGACTTCACTAAGCATCGCAAAATCTGAAATCTGAAATACAAAATACTTCCAAATCTGTAACTCTTGGAATATCATTGTAGCAATTGTCCCAGTAATCTCTAAATTCCGACAATTTAGATTATCACAGAAGTTCTCTCCCTGGAAATAACATTTGGATAACACGATGTAAATATCAATTAGTAAGTGACAATGAATTCAGTACCTCCCTTTTCATTTACTCAAAATTGTGCAGAGTATTATTTAGAGTCATGCAACCAGATTTCCTAGAAATATTAAAACAATAACAAAAAACATTCAACAAATGCAGAATCATTAGCAAGATACAGGGAGTAATGGATAACAACAATCTATTTGTAATTTAAAGTAAATGGGTAACTATACCTTCAAGTACACCCACAGCTAGAAATCTTCCATAGAACAACTCTACCATGGGGTTCTTTGGCTTCTCTTCATCACTAAAGCAAGATAAGAAATATAAATATGGCGAGAATTAAGAGACCTATAAATAAGAGACTATAACAATTATGTAAATATCACACATGTGGTTCTCTTATTTACTGTGTCACCTTGGACAAAGAACTTATATTCTTCCATTTCTTCACACATCAACTGAAGATAATTATAGTAATTAAACTCACAGGACTATTATAAGAGTCAAAATGAGTTAGTATGTGGAATGAGATTAGAGAAAACATGACACAGTCTGGGCTCACAAAGTGCCTGCCACTCTGTTATCATCATAAATTTCAAACTCATATTTGAGTCTGTACAATACATGATTATCTGGACTTGCTGGGAAGGAGAAAAGGCAATATGAATCAGGATAATTTTATACAAATTGGTGGGGTTTTTTTGTTTTTTTGTTTTTTTTTTTGACAGGCAGAGTTAGATTGTGAGAGAGAGAGAGAGAGAAAGAGAAAGGTCTTCCTTCCATTGGTTCACCCCCTAAATGGCCGTTACGGCCGGCATGCTGTGGCTAGTGCGCTGCACCAATCCGAAGCCAGGAGCCAGGCACTTCCTCCTGGTCTCCCATGCGGGTGCAGAGCCCAAGCACTTGGGCCATCCTCCACTGCCTTTCTGGGCCACAGCAGAGAGCTGGACTGGAAGAGGGGAAGAATCCAGCGCCCCAACCAGGACTAGAACCCGGTGTGCCAGCACCACAGGCGGAGGATTAGCCAAGTGAGCCACAGCGCCGGCTTTATACAAACCTTTAATATGTTAGTCCCTGAGTTTACATAAAAGTGCATACAATCTTAAAACAACAGCCATCACCAATATCAGAACAGCTTCAAACCACACTAGCTAAAGAGCTGCTCCATCCTTCTTTGATACTTTGTTTCACTAGTAAAATTAATAGTTTAACTTTCCAAAATATTTAACATATTAACACTTTGGGTCAATGTTTTCCAAATGTTTTAATGTTACTGGTAAGCAGACAAAACATGAGGAGAACTCTGGGATAAAATGATATATTTGTCATATGATCAGAGAAATATGGTGAATGCTCCCAGATACCATACTCTAGCTTGCCGTGGCACACCAAATGGAAAGAAAGCTCTGCTCTAGATGATAAAATCATACTGGTTCAAAATCAATTTATCTCCACAAAAACAACAAACTGAAAATTACTGAGAAATAAACTAAGAAAAGGGAATTTTCCAAATGAGAATATTTTAGATAAAACAGAAAACTTCTACCTTCTTTTAAACATTTTAGAAAAAAGGGAATTAACTTTAATAATTACCAGAACTACAAAATATGACCAGGAACAAAAGAAATTTAATTTTAATAATAGATAGTAAGCAAGATCTCCTCAGTCAGAACAAATTCACACCTTCAGATAAAACAAGTAGTAAACAATAAAGCAGGAAGTTACAAATAAACAGCAACTATGGAATCCTGTGTTGAAGGTAGAGCACTATATAAAACACTCACAAAAAAACCTGGGTAGATCCGAGTGGATAAACTAAGAATTTCAGGGTAAAACAGTCCAGTAATTGAGAGCTTCAATGGGACACAGTTAACACAGGTAGGGACGCAGTGCTCATGCTCTCAGGGAACATATTCAATCTATTTTTGGCAGTTGAATTCTAAAGAAAAGTACAAGACAAGAGAAAAAACAACCATGCCAGCAAGTTTCCCAAGTAGAAGCAATTCCATAGTAAAACTCAGTGCCAGAAGCAGGCATTTAGCCTAGCAGTTAAGGTCACAGTTAAGCCATCAGTGTGCCTGGATTTGACTCTGAACTCCAGCTTCCCACCATTGTGGATCCGGGGAGGCAGCAGTGATGACTCAAATAACTGGATGCTAACAGGGGAGACGTGAATTGTATTCCTGGCTCCTGGCTTGGGCACCAGGAAACCCTCCCTCTTTGTGGGCATTTGGAAAGTGAACCAACAAAAGGGAGATACCTCCCTATCTGTCTGTCTTGACATACGCTCTCTTCTTCCCAACAAAACAAACACAGTGCCCCTAGCCATTATCACTCACATACACACACACACACACACACACACACACAGATTTAGAAACAGATTCTATTTAATGTATCATGGCAGACGCCAACTGGGTCTCACTAAGAAACCACCAAGAGTTTTGGAGGACAGGAAAAAAGAGCACCTGATAACCAGGGAAGCCAGCAACATAAATTTCTAAACATTCCAAGAAGAAAGTAGCACAGTTTGCAAAAAGATGGAATTTTTTTTCCAATATTATAGTCTTAGTGCTAAGTTAGTTTCTTGAAAGATTTCTCTCAGCTTGGTTTAAGTTCACAGATAACTTTGTGCAAAGAACTGGTCCTTAACTCAGGTATCCTCTCAGAACTAAAACCAAGATGATTTTCTCAGTTTATGATATTATCCTAAGTTTCTGCTACTGTGTTTGGCAACAACTTGAGTAGAATTACACTAAGTGTTAGAAACAATATTATTGTTGGACTGATCACAGATTAAAGTCTTGGCTTTTGTTCCAAAATTCCAAAGGTAAAAGACAAATGTTAATCATGTGTGTCCTAATATTACCCTGAAATACCCTGAAACCTAAGGTTAATGAATATGAAATTTAACATTTTAAGTACTGAAGGAACTACACATGTATAAGTGAAAGTGCTGGCTGTAGAATCCAAACTCTATTCAGACACAGAAATTACATTCTTGTAGCTGTTACTACACTATCAGTCTGGGAAATGATTCTTTTCTTTGTTAGACCTCAAACACAGACTGCAAAAAACCTGATTTTCGCATATAATTTTTCTGAACTTTACCCTCAGAAGACCAAGGGTTCTATCACATAGAAATTTGACTTTTTTTCCTAAGGTTTGATAACAACAGGGAAGAGTGTGTCTATATTAAGTTTGGTAGCATCTCTGGATTGTTAACACCGAGTGATCAGAATATCTTTAATCTCACTGCAGAACACATTTATTGGACCTTGTTTGGACAATGAGATTGGCGATAAATTAAAAGCAGAAAAAGACAGGAAAGAAGTTCCAATCTGGATTTATAGCTTATATGCTAAATGTTTACTTAATTTCTTGTCAAAGAAAATGGTCCACCCACATTTCAAGGAAATACTCTAGGAACAATAGGTAGGTAGATATGAACAGAGTGGCCTCATGAGGGTGGAAGAAGGACTTCCCTGAAAAGTGTCTTGACTTTCTCCTCTATGGAGATGGGAAATGTTTTTTGAATAACTGAGGTTTTAATAAGTTAAGTATCATGGGCAGAAAATAAGCAGCAGTGAATGTAAGGAACAACTTCCCATCTCTGTCCTGTTTCCAGGTCAAGGTTCTTCATATCAATTAGTACCACTGGCATCTTTCCCTTTCACTAACCCAATCCTCCTAATGAAAAGTGATTATTGAATCTACGGAAAAGAAGTGGACCTGTAAGTTTAGCCCTTCCAGGAATCACATTTTAGATTTCTGACTTGATTCAGATCTTAAGTTAGAACCTAAAGCTACCCAGTATTCATGCCCACAAATTCCAAACATCTTGTCAATAATACAAATATTACTGGTATTCTCAAAGGCAGGATTGACAAGGACCAACATAGAGGGAAAACTGAGTGTTATTAACTGACTTCCCAAAAACCCCAGACTTAAACTTCATGGCAACTTACGTCTCCTCTTCAGCTTTCATTTGAAAGGCATCTTCTAACCAATCCAATAATTTATGTGTAAACTCACTCACGTCTTGCTGTGAAAAAAAAAAAATTCTTGTTGAAATTTGAGCTTGCTAATAAAAATACATGTTGCAACATAAAACCTATAGCCAGTCATAGAAATGCATAATTATCAACTCCCAACAGAAGTATCATGTAAAATATTTCATAAAAATGCAAGAAAATGTTGAAATTAAAAATTATAAAATAGTTTGAAAAAATCATCAATGTTATTGATTATTCATATTCATATTCATATTTAAACTTAGAAATTAGATTTAAAAAGTTAACCCCAACAGGAATTTGTAATGAATCTTTATAAAAAGAAAGACTTGTTACCAAAATGTTGTTCACTTTATTTAAATAAAAAAATCATTATTGGCTTCCCTCACAGAAGGAAGATTAAGACTTAAAGACAATTCCGTTTTTTAATTCAACTTATACATATAACCATTTAGGCCAAATGCAATTAAGACCTGTTTGCCTGGACATGTTAAGTACTCACTCCCTGACTACAGACTGGTTCATGAGCAAGCATATGCATCACCTCTCACTATCCCTTTCTTTGGTCTTTGAACCTCTATAACAGAAAAAAGAGGTTTTTGGCACCTACATTTATCAACTATCATTATTGTTTAAATAAAGTGAGTTATAACACAGAGGTTCAAAGAGAACATAAGGAAAAAATAAATCAACCCTAATGAGACTACTGAAAGATAATTTGTATAAGCAATGTGCCTTTACTCAACAAAATAGTCAACTGTAAAATGAACTTACTATCATATATTTTTCCAGCAAGACATTTTTCAAGAGCACGCAAACCAACCTATTCACCTTAAAAACCTTGAAACTAAGGTATAGGAAGCTTAAGTAAATTACTCCAAAGCAACATAGCCAAATAGGATTACAATCAGCAGGAAAATCAAAAAATAAATATCTAAACCACCAAATACTTTGTCCACCTAAGAACTCAGAATGTGATCATACATGAAATAAGGGTCTTTGCAGTTAGAAGGAAGGAAGGGATCTCCAGACGATACCATCTTGGATAATGACCAGTCCTAATTTAAAGGAAGGGTGTTTTCTTAAAAGAAAAAGGAAAATGAACACAGAATATACAGGGGAAAAGGCCATGTGAAGACAGGGAAACTGCAGTTATCCTGCCACGAGCCAGGGACTACCACAAGACACAGCTATCAAAGGGAACATGGCTCTGCCAGCTCCTTTATTTTGGAACTCTGGCCTCTAGAACTGCTATAGAATGCTTTTTATTGTTTTTAAGTCATTCACATTATGGTAACGGTTTTGCTATGGCTGCCTTAGAATAATACCGTAAAACAACTTTCATACCTTTCTGTAACTTTACTCATCTTCAAGATTCTATCTAATAGAAACAAACAGGTTTCCTACTTACCACAAACCCCTCTGGAAGAAGTTAATTACTGTCTTTTGAAGCAAGCATTCTAAAATTTACAATTATAAAATGAAATTTCTACCTACTTTTATCCAAATAATAAGGTATTTACTGTAACATTTTCTTTTAACCTAAATCAAAGGTATGATTAAAATTGACAGCATGACCACATATTAAAATGTCTCCCACAAGACTTGTGCATATCTCAAAACACAATACATTTGAAATATTTAGAGAAAACGTAAAATGTCAGTACAAATTCACTTTTTTAAAAAAAAAATCATGATCCAGGGTGTTCAGTTTGGCATTTAAGATGTCACTTGGTACACTTGAATCCAATGCAAGAAAGCTCAGTTTGAGCTCCATCCCCACTCTGGATTCCAGCTTCCTGCTAATGCATGCCCTGACAGACAGTAGGCGATGGCTGACATACAGTTCCAGCCACCCACATGGGAGATCAAGACTGAATTCCCAGCTTCTGGATTTGACCTGGACCAGCCGTAGCTGTGGCATGTATGTGGACTGTGAATCAGCAGATAGAATATTTATCTTTTAAATAAAATAAAATAAATAATTAAATGATGATGTTTACATCATTTATATATTTAAACTATGTTACAAATATGAATTTCAGATTCAAGAATAAGGAGAACAGAGAACAATTAAACCATTATCACCCTAAATGGATATATATCAACTTAAAAGACCACTAGAGAAAAAGAATCAAAAATGGGTACACTAGTTAGTCTACATTGTCAACTCAAAACAAAGTGGCACTCAGGAACACATTATAGCATGTCAACTACATGTCTCCATCTTGACTGTATTTCAAACAGAAAAAGCCCATACCTACATGAGAGGTATTCAAAAATTTCATAAAAATACATATTGTGAAAAATTATGCATGATTTGATTTGCATCAAACTATCATTTAACTCCATTTTCCACAACCATTTTGCTGTCCTATATGAATCCATATGAAGTTTATACTGTTTCACCTTTAAATATAAAAAAGATACCCTAAAGACCATCATACATCTATGGAAAGCCTCTACAAAAGACAACCAAGAAAAGCACAAGGAGAAAATAATTCCAGACAGAAATTACACTTGAGGGAAAAGGCAATCTTGCTGAAATTTAATCATATACTTAAGAGACACCGGAAAAGACAGTACACATTTAAAGGAAGAAAAGAATCCAAAATAAACAATGAAAACACATTTAAAATCATAACAAGTGACCTACAATGGTGGCCTGAGTTCCTTTTTAGGATTATGATTAATTTTCTGTTGGTGTTACTGTAACAGACAGTGGAAGTAACAAAGCTAAGTAGACAGTAAACGTAAGAGGCACCAGACCACTATTAGAATTATTAATCTTTAAGAAATATTCTGATATGAGTACCGTTTTTGTTCATTTATCTTCATCATACAAAGTAAACTTACAAAAAGGAAGAAAAAAGAAGCATTGGGAAGAAGGTGACAAAATCTTTTAGGACCCTCATCCAAATACCCTCTGCATGCATCCACCAGCCACCACAGGGACAAAAGGGGCTTTCAAAGAGTTAATGGAGAATGCATGTAATGGAAAAAACTGTGCATGAATTTAAAAAAAAAATGTGCAGCAAAATAAACTTTTTTTTTTTTTTGTGAGCTCTCAGAACTTTCCTTATATATCCAAGTAGTACAAAACCTACACAGAAAGCATAGTGGCATTTTGAACCTCTTCTCAAGTGATGCTTTGTCCTCTGCCCATTACTTCCCCACAGCCATCTTTTTAATACTATTTTTGTGCTACTTCACTTTTTTTAAATTTCTGACTTTTCAAATTATATATATGAAAATATCAGTTTGTTTATAATAATTTTCTATTTTTATAGGAAAATTCCAAATGTTATTTTCAGGAACTGGACAAAAAGGTACCAATGTAGCACTCTATAAAATAGAAAACAAACGCAACAATAATCAAGATTCTGTTGTTCAAAACTCTTTTAATTAAAGAAAAATACTCCCTGTCATCCAAGGCAGCAACTGGATCATCACACATCTGTTAAGATTTTCAACTACTCATTTGTGAACCTTCTTATTTTATCCACTATATTCACTTACCAACTTCAATCATAATATAAATTTCAATGCCATTTATTTCAACACTTTTAAATGGCATCAGGTTATTTTTAATGAAGCTTAAATTACTTAAATTTCATGCATTTTTTTTTTTTTGGAAAAGCTACTTAAAGATTAATCAGATTAAATAAAATACAACTGGCTGATAAAGAAGTATAAAAAGCTACCTGCTGTGAGTCATTTGATTTGAAGGCATCCTTAAGAATTTCAACTGCTCTTGATGGATCAACATATTTCCTTTTGGTACCAACAAGAAGTGCAAATAGATACCTCAGCTCTCGCATAAAAGGCAAATTCCGATGTTCCTATTTTTAAAAAATAAAAATAAAAAAGCTGAAGGGAAGATTAACAAAATTCTTATTGGTAAACATATTCATGTTAACAGTGTCCAAAATTTAAACTAACTGATACCGATTAGGGATGAATCCCGCACTCTGTACCACAACCAAAGAGAAAAGAATACTGATGTCATCTATGTGGCTCAAAAAAGTCAAACACACACAGCACAGGACCTATGCTAGGCTCACAATTTCAGCATAAATGGCACATATTCACAGCAAATCATTTCATTTCATAGTCAAGAGTATCTTCACTCAAGTCAGTTTATTATAGACCTTCCCACTCATCAAGGCCCAGTTGCCACTGCGGAGCGCAGCAAGGACAGACAGCCAGCATTCAGTGAGTGCTCACTCCCTGCCAGGCACTGCTCTGGACTACTTTACCCCAACAAACCCATCAATGCCAAAACTCTCCCTCCTACAGGGAACCTTTCTAGACCTCCCCAAGTTACCAATTCCTTTAAAGTTCCACATCTCCTGGGGGAATGCCTTTTAAAGAACAATGGATGGATCAACAACTGCCACTACATGTGATTATCCTAATTATTAGACTAATATTAGGACCTCACCTATTAATATTTAATAATTAAATTTATTTTAATCATTTATTATATTTCCACAAATCACTTGGTTATTTAATAATTATTATAGTTAATATGACTTAATTAAAAATTATTGTAGCTTCTTAATTATTTAAGCATTGCAATATATCAGACAAAATAGGAGGCTAATATATCATCCTCCAAGCAATCCTGAAATCTTTTTTTTTTAATTCACTTTCAAATATATATTTTTTTTATTTTTCTTAAACTTTTATTTAATGAATATAAATTTCCAAAGTACAGCTTATGGATTACAATGGCTTCCCCCCCATAACGTCCCTCCCACCCGCAACCCTCCCCTCTCCTACTCCCTCTCCCCTTTCATTCACATCAAGATTCATTTTCGATTCTCTTTATATATATAGATCAGTTTAGCATACATTAAGTAAAGATTTCAACAGTTTGCTCCCACACAGAAACATAAAGTGAAAAATACTGTTTGAGTACTAGTTATAGCATTAAATTGCAATCCTGAAATCTTAATTTTGCTCTTAATATTCTGTGAGCTTCTTAAAGACAAAGACTTCTGTATCTCTTGCACAGATTTTTGCTACACAAAGCAGGCATTCAATTCTTACTGGCTGATTTAACCATACCCTCCAGAAAAAACAAGAATAACTCACATTGCCAATCACTAACAATTTACTTTAAAACAAGATGATGACATAATTCACATTATTTAGAGAAATGCTTCATGACAACAAATCAGACAAGTAGTTCTAACATAGTTCTTGTAATAACAATTTAATAAACTTAAAAATACTATTTAAACATAAGAAAATTTTCCCAAGGTCACTGAATTGACATTCTCAACACTATGAAAGTACAGGAGTGTGTACATGTGTGGTATGTAACTGTCTTTATATAGCTGTTCAGAACATAATCCATATCAAAATAGTTGCTCTCAAAATACATCCAAAAAGACTCCTAAAAAGAATAGTTGAAGGGAATAAAATTAGTACCAAATACTTGTTATCTAATCCAAAGATTACATTCACCATAAAAATAATTACAAAGTGCACTAATTCTGAAATAAAAATACTCTTATATAAAACAGCTTTTAGTTATAATAAATTCCATAATGAATGACAGAGTTTAAATGCAAAAATTCTAAAATTAGAAAATTAATCCACATTTTTTCTCAGGTACTCCCTATTCCTCACCAACTACCACATATAAATAGGTTTTTAAATTAATACAATGAACTTTAACCCACAAAATAAGTTCCAGAAATAACTTTAACTTCCTAAGTTTCATCATTTATCACTGCAGCTAAGTCAATGCAGTTTGAGACAGTCCTTGCCAACTAATAAAGATGAAAGTAATGATTTTTGAAAATTGAGTAAAATTCTGCTGAGAAGCATATTTGAAAAGCAAAATTTAATATAATCAAACATTTCTGTCTCATCCCATTCTTGTGGCAAGAAATCATTTTTGGAATTTCAAAAGGCTAAGCTGTAAATAAAAGGAAGCTACTCAATTTAGCTAAATCATGAAAATAGCATCTTATAGAGAATTTGACCACTATTTTACTGTTTATAAAAGATTTGCTGAGGTATAACTGACATATACTACTTGTTATGATTTCAAAACTTTACACCAAATGAATTTACCTTTTAATTCTATTTCCACAAACTTTGGAGTATTCTTGTATACAGTACATTAAAAATGTACAATTTCTGACCTTTACACATGCATGAATCCATCAAAGAATTAACACATTCAAGATAACACATTTACTCCTGACCTACAAAAGTTTCTTCATCCCTTGGTCCCTTCCCTAATCATTCACAAGCAACCATACCTACTCTGCATTTTACAGAAATATATATAATTGAACCATATATTAAGTACTCATTTTAGTCTGGTTTCTTGTAATCAGCATAATTACATTTCACTCCATCCATATGGCTGTGTGTATTAATAATTCATTCCATTTTGTTGTTGTGTGGTATTCCATTTTATGAATATGGCACAATTTGTTTTTCCATATGCCTCTTCCAGCGCAGTAGTTATTGATGTACGAGACTTTGGACATATGCCTTCATTTCCCTAAGTAAAAATCTGAAGAGGAATGCACAGGCTAATAGTTGATATTTATAAGAAACTTTTTCAAAGGTATTATAAAGTTTTTTATATTTTCACTAATGGTGAAACAGAGTTCTAATTGCACATTGTACCAGGACACAGATATAGTCTACCTTCTTAACTTTATTTCTTCTAATGGGTATACTGCAGCATTTCTAGATTCACCTAGAATTTCCCCAATGACTCATGTTAAATAACAGTTCATACAGTTATTGACTATCTGCATATCTCTTCAAATAATTTTCTCTACATTAATAGGTTGCTTGTCTTCTTATTGACTTGTACAAGTTCTACATGTACTCTGCATACAATTCCTTTACTTGACATGAGTTTTATATTTTTTCTCCCTGTCTGTGGCTTGCCTTTTCTTCCTGTATGAATCTTCCAAATATTATTTAACTTTGATGCCAATTTCTTTTATGTTCTATGATGATTTTTTTACTTTATTTATTGCTTAAGTACACTCAAATTTTCTTCTATGTTTTTGTCAAAATTTTTATAATTTCAGTTCTTCCTTTCAGGTCTATCATCCATTAAGAATTATCTGATGTTAAAGAGTGTTAGAGGTCAAGGATTATTTCCCAATATGTGACTTCATTAACTGAAAGTATTTTACCCACTGAATTATAATGATAACTGTGATTAAAACAAGTTCACCTTGCATGTGTGTTTCTGTTTCTGGACTTTCTATTCTACCTCATTGTGTGTGTGTATAAATATATATAAAGTTTTTTTGGCTGATAACAGTGCTAACAGTATTTTCATCATTGTAACCTGGTAATCCCTTCTGCATTTTTTTCCTTTTTGAATTATCATTATTCTACATCATTTAAATTTCCATATGAATTTCAGAAACAGCTTGTCAATTTCTGTGAAAAGGACTGCTGAGATTATGGTCAGGATTATATTAAATCGATAGATTAAAACCTGGGGACAACTGATGTTAAAAATATGTCACAGAACATAACATACTCCTGTATCTCTATTATTATTATATTATTATTACTCTCAGCAAGATTTTGTACTTTTCTGTGTACAGGTTTTCCACATATACCTTTCATCTACTATCTTAGAGATAGTATACTTCATATTTTTATGGTATGATACACTTTTTTGTTAAAAGATTTATTTATTTGAAAGGCACAGTTACAGAGAGGCAGAGGCATAGAGAGAAGGAGAGGTCTTCAATCTGCTGGTTCACTCCCCAGATGGCCACAATGGCCAGAGCTGCACTGCCCAAAGCCAGGAGCTTATCCTGGTCTCCCATGAAGTGCAGGGGCCCAAGGACTTGGGCTACCTTCAACTGCTTTCCCAGGCCATAGCAGAGCTGGATAGGAAGTACAGCAGCCGTGACTCAAACTGGCGCCCATGTGGGATGCTGGCACTGCAGGCAGCGGCTTTACCTGCTATGCCACAGCGCCAGCCCCTTGTCTGATGCACCTTTAAAATTTAAATCCAAGACAATCAATGTGATACACCACATTAACAGACTGCAGAAGAAAAACCATATGAGTATCTCAATAGATGCCGAGAAAACATTTGATAAAATACAACACCCGTTCATGATGAAAACTCTAAGCAAACTGGGTTTGGAAGGAACATTCCTCAATAAAATCAAAGTAATTTATGAAAAACCCACAGCCAACATCCTATTGAATGGGGAAAAGTTGGAAGCATTTCCACTGAGATCTGGTACCAGACAGATCTCACCACTGCTATTCAATATAGTTCTGGAGGTTCTAGCCAGAGCTATTAGGCAAGAAAAAGAAATTAAAGGGATACAAATTGGGAAGGAAGAACTCAAACTATCCCTCTTTGCAGATGACATGATTCTTTATTTAGGGGACCCAAAGAACTCTACTAAGAGACTATTGGAACTCATAGAAGAGTTTGGTAAAGTAGCAGGGTATAAAATCAATGCACAAAAATCAACAGCCTTTGTATACACAGACAATCCCATGGCTGAGGAAGAACTTCTAAGATCAATCCCATTCACAATAGCTACAAAAACAATCAAATACCTTGGAATAAACTTAACCAAGGACGTTAAAGATCTCTACGATGAAAATTACAAAACCTTAAAGAAAGAAATAAAAGAGGATACCAAGAAATGGAAAAATCTTCCATGCTCCTGGATTGGAAGAATCAATATCATCAAAACGTCCATTCTCCCAAAAGCAATTTATAAATTCAATGCAATACCAATCAAGATACCGAAGACCTTCTACTCAGATCTGGAAAAAATGGTGCTGAAATTTATATGGAGGCACAAGAGAC